GAAGAAAAGAGTTCTTAAGTCTCTGGACTTTGAAATGCTTTGAATGATCTCCATTCTACCAGTGAAAGGTAAACTTGAAGTCGAATCTATTGATATGAATCCTACACCATTTTTTTTTTTTTAGAAAGATCAGGGGTTGTTGTTGTTTTTCCATTCTCTTGTATAACACCCTGCTACATACCACATCTTTCTTAGCAGCATAAGGTCCACTTAAAAACACATAGAAGACTGTGTTTTTTATTTGGCTGCCCATTGGGACAGTAACTAATTATGCTGGTCTGTAGGTTGCTAAGCGTCTATCTAAAGGAACGCTTGCGTCCATATATGCCCTCCCGCCCCTTGATATCAGCAACAGATGCCCTTCTCCGGGAACCCTCTGTGAATGATATTAGGAGGGTGAGTACCTGGAGGAGGGCCTTCTCTGCGGTGGCGCCCCATCTATGGAATGCTCTCCCCAGAGAGGTCTGCCTGGCGCCGTCGTTATTTGTTTTTCTGCGCCAGGCTAAGACCTTTTTATTTAAAACTTATTTTAATTGTTAATTTATTATGTAGGGTTTTTTTTAAAAAAAATTAAGCCGAGATGCACCGGGTTTTAATATTTTATTGTATAATTTTTATATGCTTTTGTTTTTGTTGTGAGCCGCCCCGAGGCTTTGTTGTGATGGGGGCGGCATAGAAATGTTTTAAATAAATAAATAAATAAATAAATATCCCGTGCCAGCAGCATCACTGAGCAGGGCCGGCCCAAGACCTTTTGCTGCTTGCAGTGAAGACCAAGATGGCGCACTACACATAAAAACGCTGGCTGGGCCGGCAAAGGCCGACTGGAATCCGACCACGATGACGGGATGGCCTCTTCTGCTAACGGGAGGGTGGAAGGCTCACCAAGGGGACGCTACGTGGGCAACATGGGACCCAAGTGCTTCCTGGCTCCTGCTGCCTGAGGTGATCATGTCACTCTGAGTGGGTGTATCCTCACTCTGTTCGGAGCGGGATGCTCAATAGTTGCATGAATGGTCCTGAGTGTAATCGTGGCAAGTCTAGGTAAAGAATCTCAGGGAAGAGGAGACCTCTGCATGAGGCCTATGGTAGCCTCAAATGCTTGGAGGCAGTATAAGTAGCACCGGCCCTGATACTTTGCCAGTGCTTGGTGTCAAGCCCACCTTTTCTGCAGTCCTGCTTAGGCAGAAAAATAGAGTGATACTTGAGCACCAAATGATATTTGGGTAGCTGTCTTATGTAGCTGCTGAGCTCTTGGGTCACCAGTTGTGCAGACCTGTTCAATGTCTCTCCCTTCTGCATCCCTTCTTCTCTTCTGAACACGTGAATCCAGACAGTGCTGAATGACATACCTACAGTTTTCACTGCCTAGGTTCAGGAAACACAAGGGTGAAGTATAGGTTGAGTGTGCATTGTTATCACAGAACTGTGCATTGTTGCCGAAATGTGGGTTATCGTGTCATCTGAACCCAACTGCCATGACAAACAACCAGTGACAGGAACCCATGGTTTGTTTCGGACTATATACTGTGGGTTCCTCACTATGGTTTGTTGTTTTATCCATGTCTGGACAACACAATACCATGTTTCAGCAACAGTCCATGGTTTAACAACAGCCCAAGCACAACCCATAGTGAACTCCTGAATATGTTACTGTGTTGTCTGAACCAGTCATCGCTTACAGTCTGACATATCAAGTGCCCTGAAAAAGTTGTTGGAGGTAGAATATCCACCATCCAGAAAGCACAGCTGGTACTGTACAGCAGTGTGGACAAATGATGCAGGGCTAGTAATGTATTTTATTTATTTATTTTTATTTATTAAAACATTTTTATGCCGCCCCATTCGCCGAAGCCTATGTATGTTGGGTGTATGTTTCTATATTTGTGTATCCATTTTTTTAACATTCTGTGCTACGTAATAGCCACAGGTCTGAACAGTTTGCAAAATAAGACTTAAAACCATACCATACAATACCATAATAGAACATAATAAAACCTAATAGAAAAGCTATGAAGATGTACAAAACTAGTGTAAAAGAAAAGAAAAACAAAGTAAAAGTCAGCAACAGATCTGAAAACACACTGACACATTTTCAAAACATCTGAAAAACTAAGAGTAAAAAGGGTCTTTACCTGACACAGGAATAACACACTCACACAGAACAACAGCCATCCTTCACATCATTCAGTGGGGAGCCTCAGAGAAGTGCCTCAGAGGATGACCGTAAGGTCTAGGTCAGGGGTCTCAAACTCAAGCTGGAAGTAGAGTGTGGGTGAGGCTGGGCTGCATCAAGCGGTGGTGGTGGGCCGCTCCTCCCGCGTCGCTCCCGGAGGCCGGCCCGGGCCGGCCCGACAATGGGCCCGCGGGCCGCGAGTTTGAGACCCCTGGTCTAGGTGGATATGCACAGCACAAGACAACTTGGTTCCCAACTGTTTAGGGCTTCAAAGGTTCAAGGCCATAAGTTGAAAAAGATCCAGAAATGGACCATGAGAGACAGACCATGCCCTAGGATAAAGAGCCAGGAAAAAGAAGCATTTATAAATCTATGTATTTATTAACACAGTTTATTAGCTTGCCACAGAAGTCTATGCTAAAAAGATCAGGTAGCAGGCGATGGGACAGACCTTTCTAAGACCTGGAGAGCTGCTTCCACACAGCAGGCAGCACTGGGCTAGATGAGCAACCACATTTGTCTGATCTAAGTGTGTTTCCTGCAGTCCAAACCTGAACTAACTTCATATAGGAAATTCTAGGCTCAGCCCTCTATGGGGGGGGGGGGGGGTGTTTGTTGTTTGTTTGTTTGCCAAGCTGTCAACCTGCTCTCTCCACTTTTTGTGTGTAAACTGGTCCTGTCCCATTTCCTCTGTCTCTCCCATTTCCTCTGAGACTTGTTTCCTCTCCCATCACAGTTTACACAGTGTAACATCTGTGGGTCTGTGATTCCCTCCTGCCAATATGTATTCTTGTAATGAGCAAGTAAAAGGTAAGTAAGCAACAATGAGTAGGAAGGCGAGACTGTTTGACTATTGTGTCATTCTGACTTGCATGCAGGATAGCACATTGTTAAGCAGTGCAGTTAGAATAAAGCCTGCCTTTAAAAAGAGCCCTGGGAGAAAGAAAACCATTTTGCTAAGACTGTTACAAGGAAAGTCTCTCTCTTTTATTTCCCCCACTTTATTTATGCACTGTAAAAGGAAATCAGCTCATCGAGTCCCCAAGAAAATAATAATGGAAAAGATTAAACAACACAAAAGGAGGGAGGGCATTTTTCCTCCTATTGCTTATTCAATTTAATTTGACAATAAAAAGATTATAATAGATTTGCTAAGCAGCCAGCCTATTACCAATTTTTAAAACTAAGTGGGTGAAAAAGAGGATTGATTGCCTTTGCTTGTTTATTTAATCACAAGGCAAAGTCGTGCTCAAGCCCTTGGACAACATTCTTCCAGGCTCTCCTGTCCTTCCCCACCCACCCAAGCCCACCCTGACAGTATTATTAACTTCCTGGACACTCTCCCTTATGTTCTTTGAGAAACCTGGTCCTAAAATCAGCTACCTGTAGGTGAAGGTGGGCAAGAATTTTGTTTCAGTTCAGTTCTGGTAAGGATTTATTTAAATGCAGAAGCTTTCCATATTCAGGGCAAGAAGATTCGGGATGAAGTATGCAAACCTATGTACATTTAGGCAGAAAAAAGTCCCACAACTCCCAGCATTCTCCAGTCAACCATGTTAGGAATTGTAGACCTTTTTCCAGTCTCAGCATGCATGAGATTGTGCCCTAAAGTAATCTGGACCCTAAACCCGAAAGTAATCCATGGATTCACCCATCCAGGGCGGAGGCTTTGAATCTTTTGCTCTCGAAAGCCCGGGGTCTGATCCCTGTGGACCATGTTAGTGCTGCGTTAGGGTTACCACCTATTCCTCCTGACAAGCTCCTCACCTTTGGCAGCTCTTTGGCGGGCGGGCAGGCCGAAACAGCAGCACCTGTTGAACACTGCTGGTGCAGATGGGTATGAATTTCAGTTCGGTTCATTTTTCGTAAGAGTGCACTGAGATGTTCAAAGTTCTTCACAGTCAAGACAGAATGAACATTAGATTGGGACAAAAAATGAACCTGGCTGATTTTCCCATGTTTGTCCAGGCCTTGAATACAGACTAAAGCATTTCCTGGTTATATTTCATATTGTTGGATTTGTATAATTTACATTACAGCATTTTCTTTTTCTTTCTTTTTTTTATGGAGGGGATACTAGTACCACCCACTTCTTAATGTCTTCCCATTTTTTCCTGCATGTTTTCTTTTCTCTTGAATTGTTGACTTGTGCTTTGAAGCAATATGGGTATTGTTTTGAATAAATGACTGGGGTTACTTTTCTATCATCCTTAGATAGCCTCCTGTTGACAGATACCTTACAATGGAACCTGTTAACTCATGAACATGCATGAGATGTGTGATTGCACAGCATAGATTAAATAAGAGAGGGGGAAATATCCAAGCCAGGTGGAAAAATAAGTTCACTTATACCTGTGCATTATGATGCATTACAGAATCCAGTGTGGATATTGCCAAAGCATGGATTACTGCGGGAAGATCAGTTTTATATGATCATCTGGTCACAGTAGTGGGGACTCAGGAAAGCCCAAGTATTTAGTTTCTTCTATGGGGAAGTATTTCTAAATAACACATTCTGTTTTTTTAATAGATTTAAATATATTTGTCTATCCTTGCCAACTGCCTATCCAAAAGCTCACTGAAATCCAAAGAAAGTGTTCACTACAGACACATGGATGAAACAGGCATGATTAAACCATAACATTTTGTTTCAGAAACATAAGCAGGCTCTCTGAAACACTCACTCTGTTTATCAAAAATCTTGACCCCGCTCTTCACCTTTGGATTGGCATGCCTGAGATTGCTGGGAAGTTATCTGTCACGGCCGGAATTTGCCCTCTGCCTCATGTGTACCCTTTTTACCAGCCACTTGCACACTGGACTGCAGGGCTAACACTTCAACACTCGCAAGTGGAGACCTGGAAGCAGTTCAGGGCCTCCATCTCAGGCGAGGTGTAACAGAGTCAAGTGAGAGGTCAAGCAGAACTAACAAGGTGAGGATCTCATCGGGCAACAAGGCTTCGGCCGAGTCACAGGAAGCATCTTGTTGGCAGGGTCAAAAAGAAGTATTTCTTTGCACAAGAAAGGAAAAGGAAGAAGAAGCGGGGGGGGGGGGCAGTCTTAAGAAACAGTGAGACAATCTTGCCCTTGGACACATATGGGGGACTGCCATTTGGCAGAAGTTTCCCTTCGCAGCTGTACGAATGCCATTAACCATATTGCACACCTGCCTGTGATTTATGCATGGCAAAGAACAGAAACCAGAGGGTGCACAATTTGGGCTGCTGGAGTCTCCATCTGGGCCCTTAGAGCCTCTTTCCTCAAATGGAGCAGACTGCAGCAGGATGGGGGGGCAGTCTGGGGAGGGGACAGGCCCATTTGGAAGACGGTCGCTTTCTCGCACCCCCCATGGCCTAGCTCTCTGTTGCTAGTCTCCTGCATGGCAAGAAAAACCTAAGCAATATCCTCACGCTTGTGCAATGTGTGCATTGTGAAGTGGGGTAAAAAAGCAGCAGGGGAAGAAGGATCCTGGCTGATTCTCCAGACAGGTCGGGCTGCCTGCCTGCCCCACTGGCCAGCTCCAGGACTTGAAATGATGTGGCTTCGGAGCATGCTGAGGGGAAGGAATGTTTAGTTTTTATTATGTTTTAGAATGGTGGCATAGAAATCCCATTAATAGATATTGAATTAAATAAAATTAAATTATTCTCTGGGAGTAGAACAAGAGCAAAATGCTCAAATTCCTTGTAAATATTCACAAAGCCCTCTTGAGGGTTTCTTGAGTATTTGCAAAGAATGTGTGCAAAATCCAGATGTTTTTTAGGCCAGCAGGGTGGTGTTTGCACAGTTTTAGCCCTGATCATGGAACTCCCTCCTAAAGTGCATTCATTTTTCTAAAGGCAGGCTAGTCTGCCTAGTTCTTTTGACTCTGTAACCCAGGGACCCAGAACCTCAGCCCAGGAACCGCCTGCTGCCTGCCTAGAGGTCTAGTGCAGCCCTCCAAGCCTCTCCAGCTAGCCAGGCCCCTTTCCCTACTCTCCAACCCCTTTCTCCTGACTACTAGCCATTTGGTGCCTGCCTGACTCCTCCCGAGGTTTCTTCCTATTCTAAAAGCTTGGCATAGCTCTCCTAAGCCCAAGTTAGAAATTTAAGTTATAGGCATTTTTTGCTTTCTCCATAGGCACATCTGGGAACTTGAGAAACTGCTGCGGGTAGCATTACAAAATGCCTAAACAGCAGATCACCATTTTGGCATCTACCTGTCACTGCTATGGATCTTTGGGTACATCTTACTCAACAAAAACCTTTTGTTGTTGTTGTTCGTTGGACATTGCAATATCTGTTGGAGGGAACAAAAAATATTCAAATACCAAGAAACTCATCAGCCAATTTTGTTAGGTTCAACCCATCAGACCTTTCTTAGGAATCTACAGCAACGTAGAGAGAGTCTCGCTGAACAAATCCAGAGATGTGGCTGTTCCCCTCTCCCAATTAGAAGAGGTTTTATATGAACATGAACAGTCACTCGGAAAAATACAAAGGCAGAAGTAACATTTGATCCAAGTCAAAGGCTTCTAGAGACAAGCAAGTCATTATCTCAAAATATATTTGATGGCTTTGCACTTGTGCACTTCCATCCCTGAACACGATCATTTCTGAGTACTCCATACCCCCTCCATTTCTATGAGACCCAATAATTTTTAAGCCTTAGCATGATCACTGTTCATTGCCTCATTATTTTGCAAGAACTTGAAGCATTTCACACTCTCTTTACGGAATTGTCTAATTCAGTTGGTTGCTGGCAGTGCTATACAGCTAATCCTTCTTTTAAACAGGCTTTCTTAATGTTCAGTAATTCCTTCTTTTAGGGAAGTGGTTATTACACAGATGTATTTAGTACTGGAAGAGTCTCAATATTCACTAATGTATATGCTCTTTTAAATTTTTTACTTTCTTCACAGCAATTAACAAATGGAAGGGGAAATTGAGTCCTTGTGACCTATGACAGCTAAAAGATGGATATTATAAAATCAGAAGGATTCAGCTTGCAGCACTCTCAGTTTATGAAGCGGTGGCATGTGAACTCCAATCAGATAACTATGTGACTATTTTGGCTGCTTTTCCGGAGCCTAGGTAGTGGCTAGAAATGCCACTACAAATCCATGCACATACATTAAAATACTAAAGAAAACAAAAATGTTTATTAAAAATTTTGGGTAGCCACGCACACCACACTGGGGGCACCTTCCATTGTTTTAATATAGTTTTATTGTTGTAACCCAGCAAGGGAGCTGTGTGACTAATCAGGCAGGCTAGAAATCAAATCATAATAAATATAATAATAAGATGACCATGAGTTCCATTGTGGGCCCTCTGGATTAAACTGTTATTAATACCATTAATTTATGCTGTTTTAAGTTATAGCTGTAAGACATCTTAAGGACTTAAAAGGAAGTGTATAACTCTTTAAAACAAACAGATAATGCCCTTAAGTAAGGCTACAAAATACATAAAGCCCGCCTTATTACTGAAACTCTTATTTATTTATTTATTTATTATATTTATATCCCACCTTTCTTCCTTTTCCAGTTTCATTTTCTCCTTTCAGTCTTTGTCTGTGTTCTTCATATCTTGATTGTGACCTGCCAGAATATTGATTCAATTAAAAAAGAACCCCATTAAATAGTTGCACTATAATTCAGATATACAAAACAGGGTGATGCATCTAATACATGAGTCTACTCAGAGCATATTTCATCAGAGAGGCAAAGATGCTTGCGAACATGAAACTGGCTACATATGAGATCATGCCCCCCCCAAAAAAAAGACAAAGGAGGGCATCACTCTGCATTACTTGCGCATGCTCTAATGTGTGTGGACAGTTGCAAATTTGGAAATAATTATAGTCAGTTGTATCCAATTTTAGTCCTCACTCAGTTAGCATAGACCCACTGGAATGAATGTGACTGAAATTACTTATATGACTAACTTAAGTCCCATTAATTTCAGTGGCTCTACTCTGTCTATATTCTAGAATCAGCTCTGGCTACTACAGCCTATTCATGTAAATAGAAATGCAGTACCATTGTGAGGATGACTGTGACCAGATGACCTGTCGTGTCAACTCAGTCTGCTGTCCAGGAGCTAACTGTTGATAGGTAGCATCAAGACCCAGTTTTTCCTTCTGATGGTTCTTTATCTCGAACTGGAGTGGGACTGACCGGCCCTCCAGCTAGAGGACGTCTCTAATGGAGCACTGTCTTCTGACAGCCCTGGAAAGCAGAACACACAGCTACCGTATGCATTCTGTATAGAAGATCCAAGTACGGGAATTAATGCTGCTGTTCTGAGTAGTAATGCAGTAATGGCTAATTCAAATCCCCAGGCTGAAAGAAGGTGAAAATTCCTTCTTTTTGCTCTTCTCCCTGCTGTGGTGATAAATGAGCCCAGAGTATGTAAAACCTACAATTCAAGGACTCAAGATAAAATTATCTCTTACACTTCACCACTCAGACATTCTAATACCCACCACCATTTGGGTCCATCTCACCCGCTTCCAAGAATGGACTTCCTTCTGTCTTTCTGTCTTTCTTTCTTAACTCGGATGATAAACCATTTCCATCTTGTGTCTTCTGGTGATCAGCTGTACCACGCTGTCATGTATATATCATTTTAAAACATTACTTAGGCCCTTGTAGAAATAGGAGGGGACAAGGAGAACCTGGACAAAACGAACTCCAATTATATCTGAAATACACTGAGTCAGATCCAGACTTAGACATACTTAAGTATACCTAGGGAAAGCCATTGAATTAACTTAGTTATGACTTAAACCCTATTTATTTCAAATGGTTTACTCTTAGGATAACTATGTCTGGATCCTACTCAATGTTTTGTGTTTTATTCAATGGGCAGATTTTAAATAAAAAGCCATTTCCAACTTACACATCATTGCATGTTGTAATCACTCATGCCAGACTGTGAGAAACATGGGAAAATGTTTCTGAATCATTGCTGAAGATCAGATTATTTGAAGGACTGCTTCCTCCCACACTAACTTGCCCACCCACTGCGTTCTTCATTCGAACTCTTGAACTGTGTACAGGAGCCAGCTAATGAAGCGCCATTCACAAGCCTCTAGTTTGTCCCTTCTGGGTAGAGTCCTGCTTGCTCAGTCCAGATCAAAGGCCATCTACCCACTCACTGCATGCCAGGTTCCTGATCTTGATGGGGGCCTTTGCACTTTCTTTTGAACACGACACTTTACCCTGGCCTATATGGGCCTCTTCCATTACTGAAAGACTTGCTGCATAGGCCAGCACAGTCTGAGAAGCCTTGCGGGTATCTTGTCTTGTATTATATGATTTTAATATTGTAAGCTACTCTGAGGGTTAAAAGGTAGGAAACATTCGGTTTTATAAATAAACACACACACTGGTCTGGTTTGCACTTAACGACTCCCCAAAGACTGTCAGGGAAGTGGGAAAGAAAGAAAGTGCACAGCCTTCCACTCAATGGCCTCTTCTGCTTTCACTGAAGGGTCTGATGTACTGGATTTGTAGGGGTTAAACCACCCAGGATTTTCTCCATGGTTTGTTGATTAGCCCTTATGCAATCCAGTGCTTCAGGTTTACATGACACATTCAACACTTTATAATCACAGGCTGATTGTAAGGTGTTCAGTAAAAGTGGAAGCGTAGCTTCTTCAAATTGTGGCCTGTGATTGGTTTGGTGCTGTATCTATTTTTTTTCATAACGTAATCACTTTGCCAGAAGCAAATCCAAAATAGCATTCCCACTCTTGGATGAGTGTCAATAGGTGAATATGCCGTCTGTTAAATCCAGAAAATAGCGGGAGTAATGCTCATCTGTCCTGGAAAATGCAAACACTCCCGTGATGACACAATATATAGTTACAGTACAGAAAATACTGGATCCATATACTCTGCAAAGTTCAACTTTCACCATGCCATGGGGAGCACTGAAGATGTGAAAGACTGTTCCTTTCATAATGGTTTCCTAGGGATGTTCTCCAGATTCCCAGGATTTAGGTTTCAATCCACTTACCTAGGAGTAAGTCCCATTAAATTCAGTGGAAGTTATTTCTGAGTAGGCATGCACAGGAGTGTGCTGTTAATATGTAGTAATATATTCAATCAACTGCATGTAACACCTAAAGAACAGTCCTTTTGTTGCCTTCATTTTCCTCACCCTTGAGCCAAAAATAATGTCCATTGTCTTTCCTGCCTCACTTTTCAACACTTTCTTCAGCCAGAAGAAACTCTTTTGTCATTGTCAGAAGCCTAATTGAGCTGCTGATGACCTTGCAACATGTTGATGGGCCTAATCCACAGCAATTCAGAAACCATGAATATTTATGCAACATTTTATCTTCTTGATGCTTCTTTGTAGAAAAGATCTTATGGCAAATGTAGCACTTCTAGGTAATTTCTGGAAAGACATTGGCAATGCATTGTTTCTTTGTTCTTTCCTATGTCTAGAAATACCAACATTCTGACATTGTTCTGAGTGTGCAACTCATGATAAGTATTCCCCACCCTGCCATCCCATTACCACCAAACTGTAAACCTGTAAACTAAGTCACTAGCTGGGTTCAGGCATTATGATCTCACACTCAAGGGTTGAGTGTGGGTTGTAACTGAACAATGGATTATCAAGTTGTCTGAACCCAGCCAAGACAACAAACCAAGGTGAATAACCCACCATTCACCTTTTGCACTAGCTGCAGCTTGTGAACACCATTTAACCTGTCTGCCACATCTTCAAGGGCAGCCCCAAACAGAATGCATTACAGCAATCTAACTAAGACCACCAGGGTGTAGTTTACTGAAACCATTGCTCTCCAGATATGGGCATAGCTAGGCCACCAGCCAAAGTCAGTAGAAGGAACACCATGCTACTGAGCCGTGCCTTGTTAGCACCTCTGGCTTTGCAGACAAGACCCCACTGTTCAACCACACACACTCAGCTCACTCTAGGATTGCAACAAAGCTCCATGGAATCCATCCCTCCAGCATTCATGGCCTTCATCTTGTGCTTGGGCCTGTCTTAGCAAGCAACCTGAGCTGAGGGGAAATCTGTGAACGCTTGTGGAATGAATGTTGTGCAACAAGCAACTTTCTCCCAGGTCACGTGCAGCACAAGCAAAGGCTGCTGCACGTGATGCAAAAAAGGGGTGCTACTTGCACAGTGTTTGCACAGGGCTCATTTCTTAGGAGTGCTGTGTGAACACCGGGTGCACTTTCTTGGACTCACAGCTGCAACAACGCAGGTCGGAGTCTGGGGAGCCAAGCCCAGGAGAGCCAACAGATTCCCAACCCCAAAATGGATTCTGCACACATTTCTAACATTCTCCACCCTTGAGTGCAAGTTACCATGTTGTGTGAACCCTGTTATTTTAAGGTATCCGTGTGTGTGTGTGTGTGTGTGTGTGTGTGAGGAATCGGTTTTGGAGGTGGGAATCTGTTGGATTCCCTGGGTTTGGCTTCCCAGGCTCTGGCCTGCTTTCTCATGGCCATGAGCCTGACTTGGCAGAAGCACGCTGAGCATTCTGGGAATTTGCACAGGCACCCGCCAAGCAATGTGCAAGCAGCATCCCTTTTCCAAACACTTGACTTGCAGATTTGTTTGTACTGTGCACACTGCAGAAGAGGATTGTGCACCTGGAGTTCTGTGAGCATCTGTGGATTTCCTCTAGGCTTGGCTCACTTTCTCAATGAGGACTGAGCACAAGAAGAGGGCCACATTCCAGGAAGGATCATCGCAACCTCATTTTTACATATACACATATAAAAGAACTGTTGAGAGAGGACTTTGCCTTTGTTGTGCCATCAGATAATTGCTCTGCATAGCTCAGGATTGTTGTACCAAACGGCAGTGACTTTCCTGTGTTACTGTGGTCACATGCCAAGATGCTGGAAGAGCTTTGACAGGCAGAATGTATGTTCCATTGCAAGACTATTTCTTTGGTTCAAATAAAACTTGCTTAAAGTCCGAAAAATCTCAGTGAAATCTATGGGGGAAAGAGAGGACTGATGCTTTCTGAATTGGAAGATCCTCCTCTTAAGCAGCCTTGCAGAGGTAGCAAGGCAATGCTGTGCCAGTATGGAGCAAGCGCATAGACCTAGCAGCACC